GGGGGGGGACACGACGGGACGACACCTGCTGGTGTCCGTCTCCTGCATGGCACAGGACGGCCTCTTGGCCAAGAACAACCCGGTGCCAGTGACCACAGCCCACGCTGAAGAGCCGCGCCCTGGGGAGCCCAGCTGGAGGTCTCAGCCAGGCGGAGCTGCGCCTGTTAGTGTTGCTGCTGGGTCCTCACAGGGACCTGCCAGCCGGGGCAGCAGCACATTGCTCCTGACCTCCTGTGGGGTGCTGCGGTCTTCCAAGATCACTGTAGTCTGCTTGGGGCCTGCATGGCTCCCAGGAGCAGACAGGAGTCCTTCCTGAGTCTTCGGTCCCGCTGACCACTGCCCTCCATGTCCTGTCCTTCACCGTTTAGGTGGCACTGGCTCATTTGGTCTCTTGGTCCGGAGCTGCCAGTGTAGAGAAAGAAGGCCGCCTGCTGCAGGTGTGTGGGAGCCACACGTCAGCCAAGAAGGTGCCTCTTGGCCGGTCCTTAGCAAACCCTTGGCTCCCCAGACTCCTCTCAGGAGGCCTCATGGTGCTTAGTTGGGACAGTTTGCCTTCGGATGTGAATTCAGAAGGTCCGTTAGCTCCTCAGAGCTGTGTGCACGCTCCGTGGCACGCTGCACATGCAGTAGTGCAGGGCAGTTGCACGCTTACAGTACAATTGCACACTTCCACCCAGCCTGCCGCAAGTGCCCTTGCTTCTCTCCTCTTGCTCCCCAGATCCAGTGCACACTGCAGGATGTCGGCTCCGCCCTGGCCACTCCGCGCTCCTCAGCCAGGGAGGCTCACCTAAGTAATTCCCAGCCCTGCTCAGGGGGTTCTGGGGCCCTGGGGTGGGGGCCGCCCCAGAGTGTAGCCCGCTGGGTGTCCAGGTCCCAGGACTCCCTGGCAGGGCAGACAACGCGTTCCCTGCCTTGGGAAAGAAGTTCGCCTCAAGGCTGATGGGAACTCTTGGCAAGATGCCCACGCAGAGGGGTGTGGTGTCTCCCGGGTGGACTGGTGGCTGCTTACAGGAGTGGCCTTCCTGTCGCTTGACTCCTCAGAACACACGGCCTTCGAGGAAGGGACCATCGCGGAGCTGGAACAGTGGATTGACAAGTACTCCAGCCAGCTCCCCCCGCTCACGGCTTTCATCCTGCCCGTAAGTATTGGGGACTCAACCTGGGGTGGCCAGGGTGGGTGTAGTGACAGAAACACATGGCCTTGCCATTAGTCCCGACTTTGGCTTTTACCCCAGCGAAGCCGCCCCCAGCACCCCAGCCGCTGCTGACTTGAGGGCAGCCCCCGGGGTGTGTCTGGTAGTGCTCTGGGAGGCAGAAGACTGCCCGGTGTGGAGCAGCGCCGGCCACTGCTCACTTTGTCTTTCAGTCTGGAGGCAAGAGCAGCTCAGCCCTGCACTTCTGCCGGGCCGTGTGCCGCCGAGCTGAGCGACGGTAAGGGTCCCAGAGGCCGATGCAGGAGCCTCGTCATTACCTGTGCCCCCCCCCCCCCCCCCCTCTAAAAAAAATCCCTGAAGGGCCAGAGGCTCTTGCCTTTAAAATCCCAGCATTCAGAAGGCAGAGCGACTTTGTGACCTTCTGTCACCCCACCCCCCCCGCCCCTTCTCTAGGTGTCTTCATCATGTCATGTCCTGAGTCCCGTCCCACAGAGGGGGCTGTGATAGGTGACCGCATACTGCTCAAAGGCCAAGCAGAGCTTTCCTTCGTGAGATTCACAAGAAGCCAGTGACACATTCCAGGCTTTCTGGGCTAGGGGCGGGGGATAATAACATGAAAGGACCCTGCTAGAAGTGGGCAGAAAGGACCGTAGGGGCCCTGTGGTTAGGGAGGACCCAAGTAGAAGCTGTCCACAGTCTAGCCATCTACTGCCCTTGCCTCATCTCCAAACTCATAGTGTTCACAGTTAAGGGGTTCCTTACAGTTCCCCGGGAGTCAGGAGCAGCTTAGTTCAATTCTGTGGCTGGGGTCACCCTCCACAGCCCCCCATATCACAAGAGTTTTGTCCTTTAGAGAAGGCTCTTAGACCCAGAGACCCCCAGATGTATCCTGGGCCTCAAAAGAGAAAGAGTCGTTTGTACAAAGTCACTCCCATCAGTGGGGCTCCCAGCAGTGAGCAGTGCAGCAGCCCACGGGTCAGCAGAGACTGAGCTGCTGGTGCATCCTCAGGGCGGCCGGCCGGCCCAGCCCCAGCCCCAGCAGTGACCCGCCAGGATGCTCTCGGGGTGGATGGATGCCTGGGTGAAGAAACGATGCCGAGTGGGAGGCGCCTGCAGGCCCGCCTAGGCTGAGACTTCTGGGCCACTGGCCAAGTCTGTCACCTTGGATAGGGCCCAACCCCCCAGGCTGCCTCAGGGGAGAGTACCAGCAGTGCGTCGGGGTGGGGTGTAGCCATATCATGGTGTCCCACAGGCACACTGTTGCAAGTGTATACACACAGGCTGGCGTGGAAACCCCAGGCATTTAGAATTACAATTTAGGCCAGGTGGTGGTGGTGCCCGCCTTTAACCCCAGCACTCGGGAGGCAGAGCCAGGCGGATCTCTGTGAGTTCAAGGCCAGCCTGGTCTAGATCCAGGACAGCCAGGACTATACAGACAAACCTTGTCTCAAGCTAAAAAAACAAAAAAACTAATTACAACTTAGACCCAGTAGCTCTTTGGGGATTAAGGACCAGATAAACCCCTCTTTGAAGTCTAGAGGCTGACAGCCCTGCCCACACCGGAGCCCAGACCACGCTTATTGGCACTAAGGCCAGCGGGATGGGCTGTTGGCCAGCCTGCCCTCACCTTACCTGCTCTGCCTCCTCCTTCACTGGCCAGGCCATGTCGTGTGTGTCCAAGGTCAGGGGTCCGCTGAGGTGGTGGTGAGTCTTTGTATCTGGTTCGCAGTTGTCGGGATTAGTTTGGGTGGTGAGGTCACGTGGTGATAGGTGTCCCAGGCTCCCGTGTGTTGAGCTGGCTGTGTACCTGTGTGTCTGTCCTCTCCTTACAGTGTGGTGCCTCTTGTCCAGGCGGGAGAAACGGATGCCAATGTGGCCAAGTTCTTAAACAGGTGCTTGATTGGAGGGTGGTGGGTCGTCTCTGATCCACCAGAAACGTCGGTGGGCCCTAGAGCACCCAGAGCTAAGCCCGCATGCCCCTCCTCTCCTCCCTCCCTCCTTCCCTCCCTCCGCATGTGTGTTAGGAGTGTGCGGTTTCAGGGCAGCCCTGCCCTGCTCTGTGAGGTAAGGAAGGCTCTGGTTAGGAAATGCCTGTAAGGGCCAGCAGGAGCAAACCCAAATGAAAGGAGCAAGGTGGTCTCAGGGTCTGTCCATGGAGCTGATGTCCAGGGCCTTGATGGTGTCCATCGGGAAGCCTGTCCAGCCAGCGTCTCTTCCTGAGACGTCCCAGGTGGCCCACAGTCACGCCAGGCTCAGGCCCCAGTGCCGTGAGCCAGGCCAGCAGTAGTCCCCTACCCTGTGGTCGGCCTCCGCGCCACAGCTATACCTCTGGTTTCTACTGCAGCCTGGGGGCCAGCGGAGGGCTTAGGGAGAGGAGGGTACTGTACCCCAGGAGATGCCTAGCTCTGCAGAAAGTGACCTCATAACGCCTGGCTATGTATGGGATGTCCCGTGTTTACCCGCCCCCCCCCAGGATGTAGACGGGCTTGGATTCCACAGGCTTCCTTACTCCTGTGGGATGTCACCAGACCGAGTGAGAGGCAGCTCCTTTTTAACTCAGAAGCAGCAGCAGCCCTGAGGAGACCCTCGGACCTGGAGTGTTGTGCAGGTCAGGGCAGGTCATCCCCTCCCTGCAGGTTCCTGGAGTCATCGAGAAAGCAGCATGTTGCTGCCCTAGGAACACAAGGCTGGCTCAGAAGGGCAGTGCCAGGGCAGGCTCGTCCTCTCGATAGCCCACGAGTTAGAGTAGTGGGTGCACCAGATGGAGGGAAGGTCTGTGGAGCTGGGCTCGGGGTAGGGGGGGAGCAGGGGGGCGTGGAGGAGAGCGTGACAAAAGCTTGCTGTGAGCCTCCAGGAGGTGAGACAGAGCCCCATGTGGACCTCAAGTAGCCTTGCGCCTCAGGGTAGGCAATAGCCCCGCCATCCATTGTGACAAGAGGGTGTACTACCCACTCTTCCCACGTGGTGCTCCTGGGGTGCGAGTTCACCCCTCCTTCTCGAAGACGAGCAAGGCCTGAGCCAGCTAGCATCGACCTCTCACATCCTTCCTGTTGCTTCTTCCTGCCCCCCAGACTCAGCGATTACCTCTTCACCGTGGCCAGATACGCAGCCATGAAGGAGGGCAGCCAAGAAAAAATCTACAAGAAGCGTGACGTGTGAGACACGGAGAAATGGTGAGGGGCCGTCCTTCACAGGCCCCTCGAGAGGCCACGGTGAACTAGAACAGTCATGTTGACAGACCGGAAGCGGGCCCGAGGTACAGACTGTCACCTCACACCCCTGCCTTCCCCCCGGGACCTCTGAGACTCCTGCTGCCTTTCCAGGCTGTGCTCGAACACATGGGACTGAGTTCCATACTGCAGGACGGAAACGTGGACTGAAGGCTAAGAAGAGGGGGGGCCACTCGGCATTGGGAGTGAACGTGGGGAGGGTTTGAACCTTGCACTCGGGCTCTGTGTGTGTGTGTGTGTGTGTGTGTAAGGCATAAAGATGCTGCTTCCAACTCGTCAGGCTGTTCAAGGATTTGAAGGGTACCAGAGGCCCCTGGAAATGTAACTGTGATTTACCTGTGCCGACGGGGCTTTAAATGTCACATTTATAGAGGGGCAGGCAGGCAGGCTGGAGGAGCTTAGTCACCTCTGAGCCGCCCATCACTGCCGCCGCCATGCAGGGGTGACAGCTGCAGGCCTGCAGGGTGCACGTGGCGAATCCTGTCCCACAGGGCAGGAGGTGGGCGCCCCCCCCCCACGGCGGCGGCGGCGGCGGCGGCGGCGGCGGCGGCGGCGGTGGGGATGAGGTCCTGAGGCCAACCCTGGGCCCTCTGCCGTCGCCCTGGACTGGTTTATGCTCCTGCGAGCCACACCACGGCTGTGTTTTATTCCGCCTGTCACCGCTGCTGCCTCTCACTGTGAAATGACATCACCAGTGGCAGCTGTGTCCTTGGGAAGAGGGATGGATATTCATGAAAGGCTGGAGGCAGAGAGCCTGAGGCTCCCACGCCTCGTGGTGGGGAGTGACTGAGGAAGCGCAGGTCCGGGACCCCTGAGGACTCGGCTCAGGGATCTCTTCACTGCACCTGCTAGGTGCACCTTCCATGCCAGGTGTGGGCGGACTGGCCCGCTGCGGCTCCCCTGTTGCTCAGTCAGCAAGCATTTGCTTTCAGCTGAGTCCCCTCCCCACCTTCCTGCTGGCGTGACAGCCGGGCAGCCACGCGTGTATCTTCTGAATCCTTTAAAGGGCAGATGCCCAGGAGGGAAGAGAACCCCCCAGGAGGAGGAGAACCCCCCAGGGGGAGGAGAACCCCCCAGGGGGAGGAGAACCCCCAGGAGGAGGAGAACCCCCCAGGGGGGAGGAGAACCCCCCAGGAGGCAGCCCTGTCCAGTGCCACTGCAGCCACCATAGTGAGGCACCGATTGGATACGGAGTTGGTGCTGTGTGTGTAAGACCGGAAACAGGAGCGCACGCTCACGGTGCTTAAGCATCATGCTGTTCCGGGCCTGGCACGGGAAGCCTTGTTCCGAGAGCTTGCGGCAGCCCCGCCACCCTGCCTACAGCCACAGGTCCTCCTCAAAAAGACAGGATGAACTCAAGAAAATAGCAACCTACACCCAAGCCTATGCCCTGACTGCCTTCCACACCCCACCAGGCTTTGGGGTGGCGCTCACAGGGTAGATGGCAGCGTTCAGGCTCCAGGCATCGCCTAGCCTCGTGCACACCACCCACAATCCTCACGGGGCAGTTCCCGCTGCACGCTAACACAGCTGCAGAACTGTTTCTTTAAATTGTACCCATTTATCATTGATCTCTCTCTCTCCCTCTTTGCATAATTCAACCCTTGGAAATATTGCAGGAAGGCTCCCTATCTTTTTTTAATTTTTGTAAATAGCAGTTTTATTGAGATACAGTCCCACCTCCCATAAAATGCTTTTTAAAATGGACAATTCAGTGGATTTTAGGATATTGCCCAGTTTCTGCCACCCCATAACTCACCCCCAGGAAGATGCCCCATAGTTCAGGACAGGCTCATTAGAACAGTATTCACCATCGTTACGAGAGTTGGGTCCTCAGCAGTGGTGCCCGTCAGTGCTACAGAAAGGGCCCCAGCCACGTGTTCACACTGGACCCCTGGCATTGGGAGCGGGAGTTCACATTTCTGCAGGAAAGGAAACTGAACTGGCCTGGGCCGTGGTCTCATGACCCCCCACCCCCACCCCCAAGCTTACCAGCACCCGACAGTCATTTTAATCACAGCCTGGGCTGTGGCAAGCAATGTCAGGCACTAATAGATCTGCTGTCGCATTTCTCAGCCGAGTTTCCCTTAACTGATGTTTCATGGCTATTGTTAATGTGCATTTTTCACTGAGTAATTTCCAGAGCCTGAACTTGTAGCACATCCCAATGATGAACGTCCCTAGTTCCGAGTCCCCTGTCAACTGCAATGTCACCCTTACCTCCTCCCCAGCACCTCCCGACAGCCCATCCAGTTTTATGAGCCCTCCGTCCCAGTGATCACGGCTGAACCTTTAAGAATCCAGACACATTTCAAGTTTAATTGAATAAAATTCTTTGTATAATAAATTCCGCATGAATGCTACATAAATCAATGCCTGGAAGGATTTGTGGCTCATCTCTCTCCCCAGACGGGGTTCGGGGATCCTGCTGGCAGTGCTGTGCCCAAGCTGGTCCTGTCTTGATCACCGAGAGGAATAAACTTGCCTTTGGGGGTCCTTGTAGAGGGTGTGGCTTTTGCTGTGAGGACCTAGAGCTGATCTCTGAGTCCCTCCTGGAAGACAGAGCTTTGTCCAGGCAGGGCAGAGGACGAGCAGACCGGGGTCTGGGAGCTCTGTGGAGGGGTCTCAGTCATTTATGGAATCAGAACTAAAGCCATCATTTGTTACCCTTGGAATCCGGGGAGCTGCGCACACGCTCTCCTTAGTGTGGTGCACATGTTCTTCCGGGGTTGGTCACCACGTTCGTGTGCCTCCTGGAAGTCCATGTGACCCAAGGTAAGACTGCCATGCAAGCTGGGCACTGTGGCATATGCCTGTTGTCAAGGCTGAGGCAGGTGGATTGGCTGAACAACCTCGAGTTTAAGACCAGCCTAGGCAACATAGCAAGACCCTGTCTGAAAAAAAACAAGCAAAAATAACAACACCCTCTTCAAGGGCTAAGTGCAGATCCATGGGACAGCTCCCTCCAGCAGCCACTTAGGGGTTCATGTAGCCCCAACCTTGAAGGTGAGAGGGAATGCCTGGAGCTAGAGAGGCTTCTGGAAGACCTGGATATCTGCAGGACCTGAAAGGACAGTGAATGACTGGCAGGCACATAGCTCCATGCCGGCCTCCTCCACCCTGAGAACAGGCCTGTCCCTTCCTGGCTTCTGAACTTGGGACATGCTGGTCATCTTCATACTTGCCTCTCACTGGTAAAATGATGACAAGTCTTCATGCTCTGTGGTCCCTGGGAGACCTTACTTAGGGCGTGTTTAACAAGGCCCTGGCAAATGCTAGCTACTGTTACTTGAATTCAAATCCCAGCTTTGCCACACCTTAGCTCTGTCAGCTTGAACAATTCATTTAGCGACTGTGTGGCCCAGGCTGGCCTGGAACTTGTGATCTACCTGAGGGCTCTTCCTCCTCTAGAGTGGGAGAAGTGGGGTGTACCACTGTGCCTGGCGCTCTTCAGCATCGTAACAATAGCAGCAACTTCCTGAGGTTCGAGGCGGACTCCAGGGGCCTGGTCAGTGTGGCTGTTGTGGCTGAGCAGCTTTGTCCTCTTCAAAGCCTTTCTGAGCTCCAGGTGTGGAGCCGGGCTTCAAGATAGGCTT